GCACATCATTCCCACCCCCTCACCTTCCATCACCACAAAACCCATCATCCCTACCATTCCCCACAACGAAACAAAGCCCTATCCCGTGGATGGGCTATTTCCGGGGGCTAGAAGAAGGGAAGAGGCGGTAATCAGGGTTGAGGAAAGGGGAAGGGTGGGTTTTAAGGTTTGGGGCAAAGGAAGGGGCGGTAATTGCGGTGGGTTTCGCAATGGAGGTGAGTTTTTTTGGTGGATGACAAAGAGAGAGTGGATTTCGTAGAGGGGGAGCCGCCGGAGGTGGTAAAGGAGGGCTGCCAGAGGTGGTGCAAGGGTTTATCTGATTAATTAAGGTTTAAAAGCTATTAATTAAAATTTAGACAAATAATGATGTCATTAAGAGCTTAAGTAGGTTGATTAAGAAAAAAGGTAGTAGTTACTAGAATGAATTTGTTTTTTGGGTAGTAATTAACAACTTTTTTTTTTAGGGTAGTAATTCACAAAGGATCCCTTTTTGAGGTAGTAATTAACAAATTTTCTTAACTTTTAATAAAGAATGGTAGTTTTTTTATTTTAATTATTTATTGATGGTAGTTATTTTCAAAAAAAAAATGAAGGTAGGTTTTTTTTTATTTTTTTATTTATTTTTATTTAAAAAAAATAAAAGATGAGAGGGGTATTTTGGGAAAGAAAAATTTATCACCCAAAACCCCCCTTTAACTTTATATATTTTTATAGATAGATATAATTTTTTAATGAAAATTTATTAAATAATAACAATAATAATAATAATAATAATAATAGCAAAAAATTCTCTCCCGTTAGGTGATTCTGTTAGGGCTGAGGGGTGGATTTTCCGGCGTCGGTTACATTCTCCGGAGTATCAGGCGGGGATTTTCTCCAGTCTCTTAGGCGAGTGTATCATCAACGTTGTCGTCGTCTAGTTCTATCGTCATACGGGTGTAGCGTAAAGATCTCTTCGTAAAGGATTCTTATTTGGGTTGAGTGTGCGTGGCTTTAGGGCATTTCTTCCAGCATTCTGGTCAAGTTTTCCCGTTGATTTATTAGGTTTTCCTGGCGTTTGGTCTCAGACGGTTTAAGTTGCGGTTTAGGTGTATTTCATGGTGTTTTGCATCCAATTTTGGTGGATTTTCAAGCGAAGCTTTGCTCTGTTTTCAGGCGTCGTTCTGGCGTTTTTCAGGCGTCATTCTGCTCTATTTTCAGGTGTGGTTTGGGGCGAATTTCAGGCGTTATTCGTGTGTGTTTTGGGTATAATTGCTGGCTATTCAGGCAATATCCCTTTGGTTTTGGGGGCAGTTTTTGGTGCAATTTCCTTGGTTTTGGGTTATTTTCAGGCGTGTAAAAGGCAGTTTTCAAGGTGTTTCACGGGTAGTTTTCAGGCATTTTTTTGGATTGGCTTTAGACAGGTTACACTAATTTCGGGCGACTATTTTTTTCTTATCAGTTTTCATGCTCGATTGTGACTATTTTTGTGCATTTTGGCTCTAGTTTTAGGTCTGTTTTTTGGCAGTTTCTGGTCAGTTTTGCTGCGCTTAGGGTGCTGGTAGTTTTTGGTGTAAGCTTCGTGCTATTTTCTGGTCAGTTTTGGAAGCTTTTTGCAGCATAATTTGATTTGTTGTACTTCGTTGTTTTATATCGTATCGGCTTTGTTGGTGTTAGCAGCTTGGGTAGTCTGGTGGTGACTGTGTGTAGCTATGTCGGCTGCCCGGTTAAGTTTCATTGTCCCTTTGTGGGTCTTATTAGTTCTTGTCAAGATGGAAGTGGCAATAACCTTACTTCTCAAGCATCTTAGTGATCGTCATTTTTATATTGGTGCACGTGATATCACACGTCATTTCTTACTTCTAATTTGGCTATTTATAATGACGCTGAAATTACTTTTTCACGTATGGATATTTGGTTATGTGGGGTTTGCTACAAAATGCATACGCATCGTACTAAGTGTCGTCATAGTCCGATTGAGTTTGTGTCACCTCCAGATGAAGGAGATGGTATAGTTCGTTTTGTGCTTTATGGTTTCTCCAAGCCGCAAGCTCCCTCCTTTTAGGCTCAGCTTGGACGCATGTAAGATCAACATTGTGGTTTTGATGTGGCTTTTCTTGATGGTTTGTTCTCCAAGGGATTTTGTATTGTGAAGTCTATACCTCCCAAGTGTCGTTTGGGGTTTTCTCGGGTTTCCAAAGGTGCCCTTGATAAGGTGATCTCTAGGCCTGATGATATTTCTAGTTGGGTCTCAACCTTTCGCTCACGAATCAGCTTAGAGTCTAGGTCTTCGGTAAAACGTCGGCATCAAGAAGAGAGTATCTCCCGTGCTATTTTTTCATGGAGTGCACCAGGTGGTAATTTGCAGCTTGTGAGTAGGGATGACAATGGGTCCATGACCCGACCCAGACCCGGTTGGACCCGACCCATATTTTACGGTTTGGGTCCTTAATTTTTAGACCTGATGGGTCTGGGTCGGATATGGGTCTAAGCTTAATGGGTCGGGTCTGGGTCTGGGTTCGGGTCTAAAAATTGTAGACCCAGACCCGGCCCAGATTCGACCCATGCATGGACCCATTTTTATTTTATTTTATAAATAATTAATATATATTATATTAGTTATAATATTATTAAAAAAATAACTTAATATACTATGTAATTAGAGGTTGAGAATATAGACTTTTATGAAAGTGAGCAAATAAAACAGCAAGTAACCAAGAAATTAAGTTTTAGCATAATATGATTTTTTTTCTTCTTACATTGTCTTTACTTTTTAATGAACAAATTATTAGTGTGTCAAATATATGAACAATTTTTTTAATGCATCCTTTTATTATTTTGAAGTAGTAGTATAATTATATATTTATAATATATATACAAAATTATAAATATTAATAAAAATCATAGTTGTACCCGTTTTAGTCCCGAGACCCGCTAGACCCGAAGGATCTGGGTCTGATTTTTTTAGACCTAGTGGGTCTGAGTCAGATCTGGTTCCACCTTCAAAATTCCGAGTCTGGGTCTCAGTGGACCCGACCCATTGCCATCCCTACTTGTGAGGGATACATTGGCAGAGGATTCTCCTACTTTATCAAAGGTTGATGATGAGGACCTTGATTTAGAGGAGCGTAATATCAAGAAATGTCATAGGAAGATTTGTGATGGTCATTACACTGCAGCAGTTCAGGTTCTTTCTTCTTCAGGCGTTGCTCCTTATAATAACGCCACTCTTGCGGATTATGTGCTCAGCACCTTATGGATTGCTTGATTGGTGGTGTTGTGTCTGTATCAGATGAGTTAGTTGAATCCATTTTCGGGGTGCTTAATCTTTTTCTAGCTGGAAATTGTCCTATGGAACTAGGAGAGTATATTGCTAGTTCTCCTCTTACACCACTTATCAAGCATGGTGGTGGTATTCGTTCAATAGCTGTGGGTATTATTTGGCGGCGTCTGGTTTCGAAGGTGGGTGTTGTTATGGTTGGCTAATCTTTAGAAAGTTACTTTGATGGTCTTGAATTTGATGTTGGGGTTTCTTCAGGTGGTGAGGCAATTCTTCATGCTGTGAATCGTTGTTGGTGGATTTTCAAAATGCCTTTAATCTTTTTGATCGAACGGTCATGTTACGTGAAGATTATCGTCGTTTTTCGGGCATTTTGCGGTGGGTTGAATTCTGCTATTCTAATCCAGCTATATTATATTATGGGGACCAATCCTTATGGTCGTGTCAAGGAGTGCAGCAAGTTGATCCCCTTGGCCCTCTACTTTTTGCTTTGGTTTTATAGCCTTTGGTTTGTAAAATCATAGATGCTTTTGACTTATGTCTTCAGGCGTGGTATTTGGATGACGACACTATTATTGGTGACATCTTGGTGGTGAGGAAGGTTCTGCATTTATGGAGGAAAGACCTCGACTTGGGTTATACCTCAATGTGTAAAAAACTGAAGTTTTTGGCTTTCAGTGGACCCTCGAAGCAGGCTTGTGGGTGTCTTTCCTCCTCATATTACTCGACCTTCACATGGTGTGAAACTGATTGGCGATCCCGCTAGTTCTGATCCCACTTTTGGAGGTGACCTTATGATGTAGAAGGTGACCAAGACCATTGCTCTAATGGATAGGGTTGCTAAGCTCGATGATCCCTAGTGTAGTTGGCGTTGCCTAGGGCATGTACCGGAGTTTCCAGACTACTTATCCTGGCGTAATTGTCCTCTTGGTACTTTTGTGGTGGCTCAACGCGCTTTTGATTAGGCTATTCGATCGTCCTTGGAGCGTATCGTTATGCGGTGAGTCTGTTTAATGGAACGGTAGGGTGTGACATTTTGAGTAATCGTAGTGAGGTCTCTGCCCCTAAACTTATGAAGAAATTGGCAGATATATATTTCACAAAGGTTATCGCATCTGCAGAATCCGCCTTCACTTTATCTCCTCGTCAATCAACGTTGTGGAAATCGCAGCAAGGATATCACACCTCTACTTGGCTTCGGGCAGTTCTTAATTCTGGGTCAGTCGATTAACGCAAAGACATACTGATGTGTGTTGTGCTACCGCTTGGGTGTTCCTTTATTCTTTGTCTCGATGCCGTGCTCTACTTGTTCAAGGGTTTTTACTGGAGATATTTTCAGCGACCACGTGGTGTCGTGTGTTGGCATTGTAGGCATTAAACATCGGCTTAACGTTGTTTGGGATACCTTTGTTGATATTTGCTATCTATCAGGGATTACAGCTAGAAAGGAGGTTGACATAGGATTGTCTGGAGGGAATGACGGGGCCCTCAGACCTGCCGATGTGTTACTTTATTCATGGGATCGTGGTCGTGATGTATGTGTCGACTTCACAGGGTCTTCTTCTTTCACGCATACAGGGCTATCTGACTTTATTCCTGGACGGGTTGTGGCAGATGCGGCTCATCGGAAGCGGGTTAAGTATGAAGCTCGTTGTCGGGCGATTGAATATGGTTTTATTCCCTTCTCCTTTTCTTCGCTTGCGGAATTAGAGAAGGAGACTGTTACGATGCTGAAGCGGATTCAGAGGTTCTCGACGACGCAAGACATTGGGGCTCGTGTTGCACGCTTGCAGCTCATATCTTCACTTTGGTAGGCTTTGCTATAACTAGAAAAGTGGAGCCCAAATTGTAACTCGGCTTCCCACTAATTTATTGTAAGTTGTATGACTTTTGTTTTTGATATATAATAATAATAATAATAATAATAATAATAATAATAATAATAATAATAATAATAATAATAATAATAATAATTATAATAATAATAGTAATAAATGAATAAATAAATAAAGTAAACAAGACAAAAATGAAACATACCTCCAAGAAAAACAGAACCATCAGAATTGAATCCAATAGAGCCAGGATAGCTCCCAGGAATCCTAGTCGTTACAAAACCCCCAACACTCAGTCCTATTGATATATTCACACCACCACCACCTCCTCCTCCTCTTCGGCAACCACCACCGATTTTCAACTCCTCTAACAAGTGAGACCCTCGGCTACTACTCACATGAAACAACCCTTCCTGCGTCTTACCAATCCCCGAACTTGCCGTAGAAGAAAAACTCCGCTGAAACAGCAGCTTCGTTTTTTCACCTTCACCAGTAAACTTAACATTATCTTCATTTGAGTTCAAAACATTTATCTCAAAATACGCTTCTTGCGGAAAGGATTGAACCATTGGTGGCCCTGGCAAAGGTAACGCCATCCTCCCCACCGATTTCGCCACCGAAGATAAACTTGCAGCCACGGCTCCACCACCATGGTTTAAGCCTTTTATTTTGAAGGACAACTTTTGCATAAAATCAACTGATCCTGAACCAATTTCCCAACTCTCTTCAACCTCATTAATACTAGTCGAGTTATTAATACTGCTACTGCTATTTTCTCTGCTGCTGTAAAAATCCCCTGTAAGTCGCAGACTCCCAAATAAAGATGATCTAACAGACGGAGAACTCGACACGTGACTATTAAAGGCAAATCGTGACCATCCATTCTCGACAGCGTCGGTGATCAAAGCTGGATGATCAGCCCAATTGAAGAAAGATTTTGTAGACGAACCACGGCGGAAGAAATGAGAACTTAGCCTTCTCTTGCTGTTTTCTTCTGTCTGTAACGGTGTCGTTTTAACCTCTGTTTCGACTCCTCTGACTTCTTGTTCATGGCGCTGTGTTGCAACACTCCTTAAATTAGACTTTCGACGAATCATCAGAATCAAGAAAATGATCACCATAAGTCCGGCGAAAATCGCAGTAATTAACGCTTCACGCCAACCAAACATCATCGGTTATCAGCCTTTAGGTGGTCGGGGGATAGAGTTTAAGGGAGAAAGTGGAATTTTCAAAACTTCAAGGAGTTCAAAGAAAACAATAATATATGCAAAGGAATATTTGTGAAGAAAATTGAGACAAAACGTGGACTAAAGAATTGTTCAAGAAAGGTAGGAAAGTTAAAGGAATCATCAAAGTCATGATTCTAGAAATATACATGCGGGTTTGACACAATAAGTATTTTTTTATTGGGACCAAAAATATTGTAAATTATTGATCAAGTCTTGTTATGGTGTATGTTATGATGTACAAAATTCATTAATTTAACGGTGCCGGCACCCTTTTGCACTTTTGAATTTGCGTGCTTCATGTTTGCTCTAATTTTATTTGGGTACATTAAAATTGCGTAATTGATGTATGAACCTACTAAATGACTTGAGAAATATTAAATGAGCTGAAAAATATCGTTTGGTACCCTTGCATCCGGATGTGGTGTGAATTCTTAGATGACTTCAGGCCTTGCTTCAATTTCATTTTTAATAACTAGTATTATATACTTTTGGAATAACATAGTAACGTAATAATGTATATTTAAAACAAAATAACGTAAATATTTTGTACTATTTAATAAAATAAATCCTCAAAAACTTTTAATTTCAAATTCATTTCTCTCTCCAGTGTTTCTCTTCACTTTTTCTCTACTTAATTCAAAACTTCCATTTTAACATCATTAGTTTCTGTGTCATTCAACGAAGCCTAATAATATTCATCTAAATTTTGCATTAACTATTACAAATAAGCACAAAAATTTTCCATTAAGTGTAAATTTTCTAATATACGTACTTGAACATTTATCTTTCTATAAATGAATTGTTGCCCTTGATGTTTTGATTATAACACAAGTCAATGGATTAATGCCTTGATAAGTTTTGTAGTTTGCTTATGCTAAAGTGCAGGAGTAATTCGAGGCAAAAGAACAAGAGCTAAAGGATTAGAAACTTGTTGTAGTGTTCCTGTAAAGGAGCTGAAGCTTCGGAGCAAAAGCTTAAAAATGAAGACTCGGAGCAGAGACTTCTTAGAGAATTAAAGTCTAAAATATTTTATATTTCAGGTTTTATGTAAGTGAGAATAATTAGGAGTTGATAATAAGTGGAATGCGATTTTAATTTGGTTTAAAAAGATTGAATTTCTTTGGTTGCTAAAAATTAGGAAAGATGGTTTCAGAAAATATCTTTTCTAATCTTATCTCAATTTGATATCCTTTTATTTCAGAAAAAATATCTTCAAAAAGATTGAATAAACTAACCACCTAAACTTGTGCAACTAACTGTTGAATCAGTCTTCTCCACTAATGAAGAAATTGCTTCTAGAGTTTTAAAGTGTCCTAGTTTCTAGGACATAATTGAAGCTCTGGTAGTGGTGTAAAAAAGTGGCGTTGATGTGCAGCAGTGGTGGCGTAAGTGGTGGAAGTTGTGGCGTTTTAATCATGCTATGTTTTCCTATAAATATCGAAGTTGTTCTTTGGAAAACTTCACCTTTCTCAATAATATCTTTCTATCTTTCTTGTTTTCAAAAAGACTCAAGTGTCCCATTCTTCTTAAGTTGTTAATTTTTCTAATTACTTTCACTAGAGTACTATTTTTCAATGTTGTAATTGGGAATTGAAGGTTTGAGTGAACTCTAAGAGAAGTCAGTAGAGAAAGAGAGAGAAGAGCAGAGCAGCAAGTAGAGGGACTTGCTGTTAGGGAACTCCAAGCTCGTAGAGGAACTTGAAGCTAGATCCTTTAGCTTGTAATAGGTTGTTTGCCCTATTATAGTGAAGAATCTTTTCTAAAATCCCAACTGGTTGTGGTTTTTCCTCTTGTTAGGGCCAAGAGGTTTTCCACGTAAAATCTCTTTGTATGAATTTTGAGTTCCTTTAGCTTAGTTTTATCAATTCTGCAAAAAAGTTAGCTAAATTCTCTCTTACTACAAATCACCTCCCTCTTGTAGTATTCTTCTACGGTAACAATTGGTATAAGAGCCTAATCCTCTCGAAATCAGGACACCCTAAAGAGGAGAATCTTAGCACAAGATTAATACTCTTGAAAAACTCATAGAAGGATACTCTACTCAACGACCTCCTATGTTCAACGGGAAATTCTACACATATTGGAAGAATAGGATGGAAATCTTCATCAAAGCAGAAAATTATCAAGTCGTGAGAGTCATCGAGGTAGGAGATTTAGAAGTAACCAAAACCAATGCTCAGAATGAGGTAATTCCTAAACCAATGTCTGAATTTGAGAAGGAAGACTTTGATAAAATAGAAATTAATGCTATGGATGTTAAGCTACTTCACTGTGGACTCGGACCACATGAGCACAATCGTGTTATGGGGTGTAAGAATGGTAAGGGAATTTGGGATCTGCTTTAGGTTACCTATGAAGGAACCAATGAAGTAAAACGTTTAAAAATTGACTTGCTTATGTCCAAATATGAACGTTTTGAGATGCAACCCAAAGAATCTATCCAAGAAATTCTTCCTAGATTTACTAACATTATTAATGAACTAGTTTCTCTTGGTAGAAAAATTCTTACAGATGAACAGGTTAGAAAAGTGTTCAGGAGCTTGCCTCAAGATGAACGTTGGAGAGCCAAGGTGACTGCCTTCTAGGAAAAAAAGGACTTTACAACATTCAACATTGAACAACTTGCTGGTTCACTTATGACACATGAGCTCCATCTAGGAACTAGCAGTAGTGAAGGAAACAACAACAAAGGGCTGGCTCTAAAGGCTGATCAAAAGGATTCTAAAGTAGATGAAGAAGAGGCTGAAATGTTGGTAAGACATTACAAGCGAATGTTCAACAGAAATAGTCGGAACTCCATAAACTTTCAAAAGAAATCCTCCAACTCCAAGCCAGACTACGGATGTCACAAATGTGGATCAACATATCATTTCATCAGAGACTGTCCTCATTGGGAAATCGAGAAAGGAAAAGGGAAGGCCAAGGAACAAGGGAAAGAATAAAACAAGACTCCCTTTTCAAAGACTGATGTCAAGAAAGCTATAATAGCTGCATGGGGAGCCTCTGAAAGTGAAAAAGATGAAGATCAACTAGAAGTGGAAGTTGCAAATCTGTGCTTGATGGTCAAATCAAATGATAGGCATGCATACCTCAAGAACTTGAAAAGGAGGTAAGTGAAAGTAAATTTGATACTGCTCAACTTAGAACTTTATCCAAGGATGCATTGATTGATCTAATTGTTGAAATGAAAGTTAATCTAAGTGATGAATGCATGCAAAAGAATGAATGTCAAAAGGTTCCATAAAACTGGAAAGTTCACAGTGTTTGGTTAGAAACAACACCAAATGATATTTAAACTAGATTTTGAGAACTACATGATAAATTTCTTCGTATGAGATGATTGAAAAAATTAAAAAGGAAAATGTAGAACTATCACAGTATAAACTTGTCAATACTGACATTAACTCCAGCAGTTCCTCTAATGATTCAATGTAGAAATTCAATGTCGATTTTGAAAAACTCAAGCTAGATCTTGATAATTTGAAAAACTCATATGGATCGATTAGAAAAGGAACTGCAAGGTAGAAAAAGTAGAAGTATTGATCCTACTGCTACTCCTAAATGGATTAAAGATGCTCAAGTCAAGAGAACTAAAGGACTTGGGTATAAATCCAAAAGGAAAGGTAAATAGAAAACATACGTAGATCTACCAAGTAGGAAAGTTTGTACTTTTTGTGGAAAAACTGGACATTTGCATCCTGATTGTAGAAAGAAATTGGAACATGATAAAAGAAATGTTAAGTAAGTTTGGGTAAAGAAAACTGATAGTGCCTCAACTTCAAAAGAAACCAAGGATCCCGGGGTTCATGAAACTAACGCTTAAGTTTTCTTGATGGTCCTAGTGAGGGGGAACAACCAGTGGTACCTCAACAGTGGTTGTTCAAAGCATATGACTGGAGACAAATCAAAGTTCCACTCTCTAGAGACCTATCTAGGAGAAAAAGTGACTTTTGTAGACAACAAGAAAGGAGAAATCATTGCTAAAGGCAAAATTGGAAAGTCAACCTCCCATGCAATAGAGAATGTGTTCTTGGTCGAGGGTTTGATGCACAATCTACTTAGCGTATCACAATTTTGTGATAAAGGTAATTCAGTAAGCTTTACGTTTAATGAATGCTATATCTTCAATAACAAATCAGGAAAGGTTATTCTACAAGGAATGAGAAGAGGAAATATCTATGTTATAGACCTTGACTCAATCCCAAAGAGCAGCCTTACATGCTTGAGTGTTATTGAATGTGACTCTTTACTCTGGCACAAACGATTCGGTCATGCTAGCTACTCTCTAATTAATAAACTCAGGTCAAAGGACTTGGTAGTTGGATTAACCGCTATCAAGTTCTTGAATGATAAAATCTATGATGCCTGCGTAAAAGGAAAGCATGTTCAAAATTCTTTCAGAGCTAAAAAGATGGTGAGCACTACAAAACCATTAGAATTGATTCATATGGATTTGTTTGGTCCCATGAGAGTTCAAAGTAGAACTGGTAAGAAATATGTGTTAGTTATTGTAGATGATTACTCTAGATGTACTTAGGTGAAATTTCTAACAAGTAAAGATGAGACCTGTGATGAATTTGTAGTTTTTTCCAAGCATGTGCAGAAAACAAGTGGATTCTCTATAATCCACTTAAGATCTTACCATGGTATAAAATTTAAAAATTCAAAGTTTGATGAGTTTTGCAGGGAACAAAGCATAAATAACAATTTCTTTTCCCATAGAACTCCTCAACGGAATGGAGTAGTTGAAAGAAAGAATCAAACTCTGGAAGACATGGCAAGACCAATGTTGATTGCAATCAGCTCCCTACGAAGGAACTTTTGGGATGAAGCAATCAATACAACATGCTACATAATCAACATGATAACTATAAGAGCAATCACCAACAAGACTCCCTACGACTTATTCAAAAGGAGAAAACCAAACATCTCTCTTCTTAGATCCTTCAGTTATAAGTGTTTTGTTCACAATAATGGTAATAGGAACCTAGGAAAATTTGACGAGTGAAGTGAAGAGGCCATATTTCTTGGCTATGCCTCAATATAGTAAAGCATATAGAGTATATAATAAGAACTCTTTGTGTGTTAAAGAAAGCATTCCTCTTATTTTTGATGAATCTAACCTGTTTATGAATGCTTAGGAACAAGAAGAATATGATTTTGAAATTGGATTAGTAAGAAACAGGACTGAAGATGAAGAAAAAGT